CAGGTTCTAGGTTTGAAGATGAGTTTGAAAATAGATGAATCTCTTTGAAATGCTCTTACAAATATCATGAGGACACAATACGAAAAATCAAAAGAAAACTTTGCAATATTTTTATTAACGATTTGCGCATTTGTAAGCATATTTACTAAGCAAAAGTTCCATGAAAAAATAATTTCAATCGAACAACTGATTTTCTCACAATTATCAATGGCATTGCGTTGTTTATTTGTTTGCTTATTTTTCCTAATATATGACCAACCAGGAGAAGCCGTAACGAAAGCAGTCTATATATATTATCAGACTAAAAAATTCTTAGGTATTTTGAATTGCATCTAAGGATACATACAAGCATATTGCATGTTCACTTCGGACAATTTAAATAGAAATTAATAGAAAAAAAAAAAAACACAAAAAGTTTTGCAATAACTTACAAATTTCATAGAATTTTGTTTCATTGCAATAAAGCAAAGTTTCGCATACTTTTGCTAAATAATGGGAAATTCATATAGCTCTGGTTTCATGTTGTTCGATTATCGTTTATTGCAAAATTTCCAAATCTCCTTGAACCATAGGACTTTCATCAATATCACAAAGGAACGTTAAGAAAATATCGCAGCTGCACATGAGATAGTTGATATCAAAAACACGTTCTCAGCAACTCGTGAACAAAGTTCAATTATGACCAAGTCATGGCTTATTTAAGAGATAACTGAGAACATTCTATGTCTTTGATAGATAATTTTGACAATTAATAGGAAATCTAGTAATTTTAAAATATTAAGAGAGCAGATTCCTCCTATTAGCGGGAAATTATTTCCAACTCCTTTAAATGAATTAAGTAGGATATGATAGATGATCTGTTACGTATTGTCATGGAATTTTCAAAAAAAAAACCTATAGACTTTTATTTCTTTTCTTTTATTTTTCGAAAATTGCATTATTTTGACTTAATATATGCTTCGAGAGCTTCTAGAATGTTTTTGTAAAAAGAATCATTATCTTGAATAAATTTTTTTATTGAAATTTCAGACTTTTCCCTAAGCATCTCAAAAACATTGCTTGAGTTAAGTGAATCTCTGCTGGGAAGATGCAACATAATGCCTTTTCTAGTAAAGATCATTAGAAAATTATTTGCATATGTTTGGAAATTAAGATAAGAGATTGGGAACGATTTGAAATTTTTCAGTCCTTCTGTTAAGTAATTAAATGTTTGGGATAAAATTTTTGTTGTTGATTATGTATCGAATAATAATTCTTGTTGCTATGGAACATGACGACTTTGGTGCATCAATACTTCGAGAAAAAATAATTGGGAGGAATATTTGGAGGAGAGAAGGGCGGTTAGGCTAAGTGATTCATCAGATTATAGGCAGGTTGAATAAAAACTTTCGGTTTTTTTTTGTTAATTAAATCTGGATCAGTTACACACTGCATTCCGCGTAAACCTCTTAAATTAGACCCGCGATTGCGAGAAAGGCTTCGGTGTAACCATGGATTACTATTTTTCCAAAAAATAGATAATTTATTTTTACCCATTTACCGACCGGTCGCTGGGCTAGAGATCCTCCCTCTTGCCGTCTCTGTTTTGGTTTAGTTTGTCGCGCGGAATGCCTACCCACTTCTTCTACTTGTCACTTTATTTATTACAATCGTTTTCAGTTTTATTGTATCGTTAAAAAAAAAAAAACTGTTAATAGATAAGCGTTATAGGTAAGCGTTAGCGACTAAGACTATTAATAGACGAGCGGTCGATAAAATGTTACTAATTAAACATAGTCTTAATAGGCTCCCTGATTATATTTATTTTACTAACTTGCCCTCTTTTCGAAATAAAAAAAAAACAAAAAAAAAATTCTCATGACTAACTTTTCTTTTTTTTTTTTTTTTTTTTTAGTCTATTTCTGTGGAGTTACCCCTTAAGTAATATTTTATTTTCGATAGAAAAAAAAAAAAAAAAATATATACATAAAATGCATTTCACTGTGGAAAGGAACTGAACAAAGTCAAGTTCAGATGTTTTTTACTTTCAATGTGAAGTCAATAAAATTCGTCCTTAACCAAGGCAATCGTGTTCTTAATGTCATCAAATCGACACGACATTTATACACGGACTGCCAATCAAACTGTACAGCTTAATCCTAAATCGATTTATAAATGCTAAATATAGTCGGTCGGTAAATGTTATGTTCTCTCACAACACGTGAACTAAATAAAGTCAATCATCGATAGCAGGCAAATATGTATAAAATAGACCATAAGACGCCTATATATTCTCTCTAAAAAAAAAAAAAAAAAAACCACAGTAACTAGGGATCATTAATATATAAATGTGACAATATTGAGGGAAAACGACATCTGAGGCAAAAAAAAAAAAAAAAAAAGAATTGAAACGCGTTTATAAAATTTCTCCAATACATTTATATAATCAGCGATGCATGGGATGGTTTTGTTTGAAAATGTCAAATCATCTAATGTAATTTTCTGCATTGATTCCGTAAGCTAAGCAAGCAGACAACGTATAAAACGACAATAATTGTGCATGTTATAAAATAAAAGCTGAAAATTTAATAGTTAAACTACATGTGAATATCTCACGCACGTGTTCACACGTAGATAAGTAATAAGGCTTCGTGTTTAAATATTTCTGTTTTTATGAAAACAAAAAAAAAAAAAAAAAATGAAAATAAGAATATAACAAAATAAAAACGAAAAGAAAAAAACACGCTCAGGTGACGTCTCAAGTCGAATTCATCATACTCTCAAACATGACCTTTTCCTAATTATATATAGGGACGTCGCATTGGTCCGATCTCGTATAATTCTCATATGATATATGATGATTAGTTGCAGTACAGACAGACAGACAATGAAATCTAATACAGAAAGAGATTATGTAAACTGTTAAGCTTAATCATGAGTACCGTAGCTCAACGTAGATATTCTTGTGATAGATTAAATGCTAAGCGCTAGTGATTTAAATCTGATGTGCACTTGATTTCATATTAGCTATGTAACTATATTTGTTCCGTTTATTGACAAAATTCAAATCTATTTAAAATAAGCGAAATATATGGGTCGACATTATCTGTAGTCTTTTGCTATTTATCGGTTTGCTTATGGATGCCATCACGGTAGGAAATCCGTAGTTCCAAAATGAAATAATCATTGATCCCCGTTTTGCATATCTTCAACTTTTGCCAAGCTCCTGATCTTCTCTATACGACTGAATTGATCTGAATCGGTGCTAATTAAAAGGAAACAGATTTGGAGATTATAGGGAATCATTTCCTGGCTTGCTTCTACTGTCGGGACGGACGGACGGACGGACGGACGTATGCGACATATGCAAATTTTCATCGTTTTACTTGGACCCTGATTGGCTTATACAAACAAATCACTGCAGATGAGTTCTTAAGGAGGGTGAAAGTATTGATTGATAAAGAAGGGCGAGAAATTGATTGATATTTTGCTTTATTATTATATCATATTTATAAAACGTATGTATTAATGTCAGTTATTGAATATTTTTATTAAAAACTTTTCACTTTTCACTTTTCAGCTTCCATTAAAAAGGGGTAATAGGGGTAATAATACCCTGAGCTGATTTGAATTCGAAAGAGAGAATGTTCAATGAGTGTTTTTCTTTTCTTTTTTTTTTATGACGAATGGAATCATATGAAAAAAAACTTGTTCACCAAATTACTAGTTACGCTAACGGCATTGACTTTAATTTTTTTTTATTATTTTTTGAATGCGGTTGGAGGTTTGAGGTTTTTGCCTTATAGGCCTTCATATCTCCCGTACCCTGATAAGGTAATAATTGAAGATAGATTGTTGATGAGAATATTTGAGGAAATTTACCAACGATGGGAAACAATTTCGAAAAAGCAAAAGTTTCTATATACGTAAATAAAATCGCTCAGAGTTCAGAGATCGAAAGAAGATCAACATATGACTCACCCGTTGTAGATGCGAAATGTTTCTTTTCCCTCTATTTTTTATCTTCTATGGCTCTTAGCTTCACAGCGACAGATGGTATAGAGAGAGAGAGAGAGAGAGAGGTAGAGTTCTATCCACGTCCACCGATCAATTTCAGACACTTTTACTAACCGATTTTTCAATTCAAGTCAATTAAAAATAATGCGGCTTTTCAGACACTTTTTGTCTTGTTTCATATGCATGAAATCAAAACACAAGATGGATCAACGTGGATGCATATCGCTAGATTGTTAGGTATAGATTTTAAGCTTTTAAATTAATTTATCATTTCCGCGTTCATTTATGTGTACGTGTTGCTTACTGAACGATAAAACTAATATAACCTTTCGGAGATAATGGTAATAAATATCGTTTTAAAATGAATTTCTTGGTGTGCTGTATTTTAATTTCTCCCGGTTTTTTTGTTTCTTTTTTGTTCGTTTTCTATTGATTTGTTTTTTTTTTTTTTTTTTTTTTTTTGAAAAAATTTAAAAAAAAAAATTATTACCATTATTATCGTAAATTACGTTGCCTTGTATTAAAATTGTTACCATATATTTGTTTTTTTTTTTTGTTTTTTTTTGTTATATATATTTTCGATTATTCGAAAAAGGGGCAGCGAGAGAGATAGGAAGATATTAGATAGATAGAGAGAAAGGGATAGATAGATAGATAGATAGATGATAGAATTAGAGGAGCATTTGATTAAGAGAGTACATAGAGTATAGAGTATAGAATTTTATAATTAAAATTATTATACAATATATTTCGTTCTCTGAAGGTAAAAAAAGTGCTAATAATTTTTTTTACATATCTTTATAATTATTAATGTTAATTACTTCTATATATATTAATTATCTTTAGAAATTGTTTTAATTTTTTTTTTTTTTTTTTTAATTTTTTTGTTTTTTTAATTTTTAATATCTGCTAGAATTATATATGTAAAAAAAAAAACAAAAAAAAAAAAATTGATTTATTTTTGTTTCGCTTATACAAGGAAATCACTAATAAAGTTTGGCTCAAGTTATAAATTGAAGAGAGTGTTGCCGAAGAAGGTCATTAATAATGTCGAGACGGCCAAAGGTGTAATGGTATGCGCGGCTGTACTATTACCGGCTAATATTTCTGCTCGCTTTCTCATACGTTCCTGTTTGTTCGGATAAATATGTGTAAAAAGAAAAAAGAAAAAAACAAAAAAACCTTGAAATTCTAATAATTTTGCGAATAGTGCGAGAATTTTCTTGAATTTTTTTTTAGTTTCTTTTTTATTTTGATTTGTCTGCATTTACAGATTTTTACTCACCTGATATAAATTATCTTCACCGGGTGGATCCAGGCATTCGAATTCGCAGCAACGTTCCCCTACTCTAAAGTTCTTACAGAACTGTAGTAATGATGCGAATAGAATTAGAAACGAGACAGAGAAGAAATAATGAAAAATTCCGAATATTTTTTGTAAAACGAATACTAGAATATCCGGCATTGTTAAATGTAAAAATAGGTTTTTCTTAACATGAACCAACAACATTTATATTTATATATATATGTATATACATAAAACTAATGAAAATTAATATTTAATTTCGGAATGTTTATTCTTATTATTGTTTTTCCACAAAGATTATCATCACACATTTTACTATACGTTGAAAATAATTTTCAAAGTAATTGTTTTTGTTCAATGCAATGGGAAAAGGAAAACTTTTAAGCGCATTAATGGTCTTTATTTTTGCTTTGGGAAAATGGCAAAATTGTATTCACTGCGCACATTTTCACTTTTACACACGGATAAAGTGATCGAAAAAGTGGTCATTTGGAATTGCAAATTTCTTGCCTTTGGGCCAAAATCTCTCAGTTTGCCAAATTTCATCAAAATATCTCAATTATTGTACGAAAAACAGACGGACAGATGGAGAAACAAGCTTAGATCAACTTAGAAAGTGATTTCGAACCGATCACTATAATAAAAGATGGGTCTATTTCAGTTTCGTCGCCGAAGGCTGTTCGGTAAAGTGTTAAAAAAGAGTAATCAATCGATCGAAAAATATTCATAAATCAGTTAAGCAAATAGACAGACAGACAGACTATTCTACATTTTTGTTTAGATAATCAATTTTTGTTTATTGCCTTCACTGACCTCTTACGATAAATGGGGACGTAGGAAAAATTTTAAAAGGTCAAAAAAATCTGTAATATTATTGTTCTATTACCTCTTCTTTATATCCTTGCGTCAAAAGAGAAGAAAAGAAAAATTGTGAAAATCTCTTTCTCTTTCTGTCTCCTTAATTCAAAGGGAATGCAATCTTTGGGATTCTCAGTATGATAGATAGATAGTCACTCTAGCATATTGGGAAATTTTTCAAACCTTAAGATGGATACGTTACAATGTGCCTCTTTTAACTCCTGCACTGCTATTTCGGTTTTGGAGGGCATGCTTAGTTGTGGCTTCTCGTACCCTACATCATTTGTGATACAAGGGTATATTAAGTTTGTGCGGATGTATGCAACACCCAAAAGAACTTGTTATAAATCCACCTTTTATTACACGTAAACATGTCTGTCCCTCTGTCCGTCTTTTTTCATTTTATATTCAACTCACAGGTCGCAATTTTCGAGATGTTTTGATGGAATTTGGTACGCTGCCGTGTTTTTTGGCTCAAGGACCGAAGCGGGATGAGTCCCCGTATGACGCCTTATATTGAAATGTTGATATATGAATAATTGTAAAGTGCTCCAAAGTATTTAAGGGTGGGACGTGCTTCACTATAGAGTTCTTACTTGTTAAACTTTCATTTCATTCTATGGAGATTGTATGCAATAAGTTTAATTTTTTTTTTTTTTTGTGGTATTTTTTTTTTTTTTTTTTTTTTCAAAATTTCAAGAAGAAATGATTGGATCGTCCGACTAACTTGCTTACATTCAAAACTAAATTTATAAGCGAGATTTCTAATGAATGCGGCCTAAATAGTTACAAATGGCATAAACATATTAATATACTTATATGATTGTAATAAGAACAAGAATAAATATAATAATAATAAAGAATATATTACAATTAGATTGCTAATGTAAGTACATAATATAATAAGTGTGCATGCATGCAAACAAGCTATATAATTAGTGATATGCATGTAATTGTACGCATATATATATATATATATACATATTGTTATTTACTTACATAAGGTGGATCACAATAGATGGCCTTACACCATAACGGCTCTGAATGGTAACAGACACACAGACTGCATACGCCTGGTCCCGGTACATATAACATTCCGTGATTAACTGAATTACCTTGAAAATCAACGCAGTCTTCTTCCAAACATGCTATATATGACGATAGTTGATATACGTATTGGTCAGTATTGGTCAAGAAATTCGTGCGTTTAGTAGCAGCGTTAAATAAAAAAAAAGAGAAAAAGATTTTTTTTTTTTTTTTTTTTTTCGTTATTTAGTTAGAATATATGTATATGTAAATGTATGAAAGAAAAATTATAAAAAAAAATATTATATAAGATTTTCTTTTACTGAATATATTTTTTTTTTTTTTGTACCTACGTTCCTTGAGTATTCAAAATGAAATTTAAAGATATTTCAATATTCGCGTGACACAAACGGAATAGATTTAATTGCGCACACTTTTCAAGGTCGTAATATATGTTACATATAACCGGAGGCGTGCAGTTGTTTTTTGCCCCCCTCCTAGAGAACGTCAGAACCGAATAGAACATCATCAGTCTAAATCTGAGCAGAAGAGAATCATATAGGCATTGATGAACTAGTTTCCAGGCTACGCAGACAAAACGTTCTAAAAACATTCTATTAAAGTACACTTCGAATTATTTCAGTAGACGGCAAAAAGTGCCTTTCCGTGAAGAAGTGAAGATTACAAAATGATAGGAAAAAGTTTGTTTAGATATTTTGACATTATGTTGTAATGTCCCGTCCAAGCTATGGCTGGGCAACAGAAAATAATATCACATTTTATCCATTTCGTGGAGCGCGTATTTGACAGCCAGGTTTTGCTTACATATCGGCAATGTTGAACTGTCAACTGAAAAGCACCTTGACCTGCAAGATGTCACGTCGAGGGAACATTGAAATCATAATACTTTTCATAGGAAATATATTTAAAAAAAGAATTTAATCCAAATTTTTTTACATTTTTTTTTCGAAAACACAAACTGGATATGATAATCTTATTAAATAATAAATGATATGATTTGATAAGGATTCAAAAAAGATCTATCCGATCTATCCGATTATTTTAAAGTTTCTTACCATCTAAATTCCTTTCATATAAATCGAAAAGCATGAGGTAAAAAAGCAAATAATTTCAGAATTTCAGAAGAAAAATATTTAAGAAGAAGCATCTTATTGATCTAATATTCAAAGGGGGTTTTCTTCTTTCCTCCTTTCGTTCTTTTGCTTCTAAACGAGTTGATCTTTATATCCATCACCTATGGCAAATCTCATTAATCAAAAACTTTAAAAAATTTTTATAATTTTTGTATTTTTCTCAAATTTATACATTTTTCATCAGCGTAAGAGAATTCGAATCGAATTGATTACGTTCATGTGACTATACTCATATATCTAAGAAAAGTATCTGCAGAAAAAATCGAAAAATCTTTTTTTTTCCCAACAATTTAATAACCGTAGCAGAAAATGTTAAACTGAAGAGATTTTTGCAAATACAAACCGTAAGCCATCTAAGAATTGCTATACCCTGCACCATTTGTACCAATAGTTTATATGGATCTAAACAACATCCGGAGAGATTTGAGATAGACTAACCTTTTATTATATTGTTCGTGCGTTTGTCTCTCTGCTTCGTTTCGTTGTTGTGTTTAGCCTATAAATCGCAAATTTTTAATGCAATTAGATGCATGGTGATGTGCTTAGGCGCAAGGACAAACGCTATTGAAAACGATTTGGATGGGATAACTTTCTCGACCATTTCCCATAGAACGTCCTGTTTTGAAAAGTGGGTAAAGGTTTATCGTGTCCCCCTATAGCGCCTTTTCACTTCTGAATTTGTAGGAAAAATAAAATAAAATTTTGAATTTTCAAGATGTCTATGGGCGATGGGCGTGCCCATTAGCGAATTTAGCCAATTTATGTGTGGAATTTGATCAAAATTAATTTAATTACATATTAGCTTCTTTTTTTTTTTTTTTTTTTTTGTTGCGCTTATGACATTCGAAAATAATAACGGACACACGGACGGATATTGATAAATGAACTCCAAATTTTGAGATTATATTCGTTGATGTATGCATATACTTAAAGCGATTATGATTATTTTTCCAATAAATATATATATATATATATATATATAGATAGAGAACGATGATCATTACGTTTCAATATAAGCTGTCACGTGGAAAATTCTTATCGCTTGCCATTTTATTTTCAATATAAACTAATAATAATGTACACACAATTCAATTTATTATCAGTGAAAAGATGAATTTTATTTTAAGCTTAAGTTCATAGTAATTAATTGCAGTTCAAAGCACAACGTAATAAAGACTATGGACAATTGTGTGATGTAAATACGATAATAATCATTTATTTAGTTTGATAATGTGTAATATGTGTATATGTATTATTATTTAACTAAAAGTTCACTCATTGGGCACATTGAGCACGTACGTAATAGTGTCAACAATAAGACACGTTTGAAATTTAAATCACATTTTTCTATGGATTTGTATAGAATTTAATTAATCCCAAGTGTAACAAATAATTGATCGTTTGGCAATCACCGCCGACTAAGCAGTAGCATGATGAGAATATAAAATAAATTATGAAATTCGTGTTTCGTGTCTTTTTCTTTCTTTATTTGCATTTTTAAGCGAGATTTAATACTTAAATCCTCTGCCTATATAGATATATATTCATCATCTAGATTTTGTTTTTTTTAATTATTTTTACAACAAAGCATAATACTTTTAAGACTATCCTAAATATAAATAAATGACGTCGAATTGATTTTTAAAAGTGCGATTATATATATATATATATGCATAGATATATTCATATATATGTAATTTTAAAGAAAAACGTATACATATATATACGCATACATAGACTGCTCGAAGACGCTTTCGAAAGTCATCAGAATAGTAGCAACGATAATAATAATAATAATAATAATAATAAGAGAACCAGCAAGCAAGGAATTGAGAGCGCAGGTTCACATCAACAAACGTTGCTCTCAATTGTTTGAACAACATTGTAATCAAGCACGTAAGTTCACGTGAAAATTGTTTGAATCAAACTCGACCAACGCAAAAAGAAGGCAAGTCGAGGCATCAGGTTTCTTTTTTGTGGTATTTTTACACTCATCTGTGCGAAATGAAAGTAGATTAGTTTCTTCAATTAATTTGTAACAAAAAAATATATCCAAGTCAAAGAATTTGCATATTAATATATATATCTATATACATATATCTATATAAAAAAAACAAATAGATGTCAAAACTTTCTTATAAAATTATATGTAATTATTGTATGTATATATGTATAATTTTATAAGAAAGTTTTCACATCTATTTGTTTTCTCTTTTGTTCGGTCGTTTTTTAATCTAAAACTTCTCTCGTCATCTAGCCATCGGTCCATCTGCATGTCCTTTGTTCGTTCGTTCACTCAAATATTCTCCTTAAGTATGCTCAGATTACAAAAATAAATTCAATTCTATATAAAATTTATAAATATTTATGTGTGTCACGAAAAAATCGGTACAATTCTCGAAAGCAATTTCATCAAATTTTCATATAAATCTATATAAATATATATATATATATATATATATATATATACAAATATATGTATAAATATATAGTTAAAATGACGAGCATCCAGGATTCGGTTCAAGGTGTATATTAGATTTCTGCTTTTTATTTTTATTATAATCAAACTTGTTTTTTTTTTTTTTTTCCTCAATAGCAGGATGAAAACTATTTCAGTAGGCCAATGCAGACCAAACCATACCAAACCGGACTGAGCCGGAGTACAGATGGCAAACGAGAGATCAAGACTGCGAATGCCTGTAGTCATGTGTTTGTATGCTCGTGTGTGTGTGTGTGTGTGTGTGTATGTAAGTATTTGTATACGTGTTCGTGTTTGTATGATGTTGAGGTGAAGGTAACGGTTTACGTACATTGTATGTATGCGTGTAGCTACCGAAAAATGTCGGAGAGGAAATAAAAACAAATTATATACCGGATGGCGACGATGGTTGCAAAAGCTAAGTCTTGTTTTTTTTTTTATTTATTTATTTATTTATTTTTTTTTTTTGTGTGTATGTACAATCATACAATATCTTCTATATACATACAAACCATTTATATTAATATATGCATATGCTTGTACTTGTATGTATGATACAATTGTACGCGTGCAAGGTTTTGGTTGATTAAACAAAACATCTGTGCTATCTTCACTAAGTACCATCAATGTATGTGTGTATCCGCCCGTGTATGTTGATATATATATATATATATATATATATATATATATATATATATATATGTATGAATTTGTGTAATTTTTTGTTTGTTTGAGGGGCAGTTTAAGTGTGTATGTACAGGATTCAGTTACAACCGACATTTTATTTCATGCTCTTCATCTTTTGATAAATCTTGTTATTTTAAGTTTAAGCCCAAAAGAAGTGTGCAGAGTGATAAATAGGAGAAGCAGAGGCAAAGTGAAATCATGGTAAGTCGCATGTTTTTGTTTTAGTTTTTTCTTATTATCCTTAAATTTAGAGCAGCTCGCTTCTATTTGAAAAAAAAAGAAAAAAAAAAAAAAAAAAAAAACAACGAACAAAGACAACACATTAACGCAAGCCTGTACATGCATTTATACATAAATGAGGTAGTATAGAGACACGCAGATATATGTGATAGTAAAAATTGTGTTTTATTTAAAATTTTTCCTTTCGCCTTAATTTTTTCATTCAAATGAAGACAATTAATGCATTTATTACGATTTAAAAAAAAAAAAAAAAAAAAAAAATACATATACGAATGATGTGCTTTCGTATCATTTAGGCGATTCAGTATTCGCTTTAATTTGCTTTGAATATTCGATAACTATTTGATGATGATTAACGTTTCACGTTTAACGTAGTAATGAAAATAATTCTGGCCGACAATGTTTGTCGTGTTTTTTGAATGCGTAGTTAATTGACGAAACGGCAAACTGAATTTTGACTTTTTGAAAGAAAGAAAAGATTCAATAAATGGATAGAAAGTAGTTTTGCATACCATACAAGTCATACGGACATATGCAAAAAAAATCTTTTCTAATAAGTATT